CCTGCATGTTTTTGAATAACTTTTTTTGTAAATAAATTAGACTTCCTATTCTTAAGAATGACAACTGAAAATTTTTTATGTGATAGTATTTTAACAAATAAAGTATCTAGACTAAAATATTCATGTAGATAATTGCCAGCCATGATACCAGCTGTTGTGACACTTTGTGAAAATAAAAACTTTGGAGGAAACACTGTCAGCCATGTAGCAGAGTGAAGGAATCATTAATTAGTCATCATTCTATTATCATTTACTGATGGTGTCATAATTTCTGTGTTTACCCTTAAAAATCATAATCACATTTAGTAAAATAAATGTCAAATAAAGTGTTGAGGTCTAGCATACCAATCTATCAAGACTGATACATATTTCATTCCTCTTTACAGGAAAGCAGCAGTACCTAGGACTACATAAGGACTTTTACAAATTTGTATTAGTAGTGCCTGAGGTCAAAAATCTGTAACTATGAGGAAGCAGTAGTGACCTACTTATGGTCTAAAGAAGAAAAGCTTTTACCTTTCCTTCCTTGATTTTGGTTCCAATTATTTGTCGTCTTTGCTGTATTATTTCAATGAGCTGGTCACATTCTTCCATCAGCTTGGTTTCTTGGCGGGATGCATTTACCTGCAAAGCAAGCCATTATGATTAGGAAAATCTTTGACATTTTCCTTTTCCCAACTAAAAACCTGTCATTTCTAAAATGTTAGTTTTGGCTTCCCCCCACCCCCTTTTCTGTGTATAATCTCCATGTTATTCTGCTTTTCCCTGTCTTGGATTTTGTGAAACACTGAAACAAGTCTAAATGTCTTGTCTGTAGGAGATAAAACTTGCAAATAGATACTTACCAGGTATTTCTAACTCAAGTGAGAAAAGCTGGTCCTGTGAGTACTGAGTGATGTCAGTTACAGCAGACATTAGTGAGAAGTGAAGGCTCTTCAGGAGCTGCTTAACACAACAGTTGTTTCAAGCCGTATATAGGACTGCAGTAAATACTAATGCACGTAAAAGCAGAAATGCATCAGAGAGTCCATGTAGCAAAGTATCCTGTTAGTGCCAGCATCTGCTAGTAAAGCATCTTAGGAAGAAGTCCCGATATACATGATGATTTCTGTGACTATTTTGTCATCCTCTATCCTTTTGCAGCTCAGTGTTTTCTTGAACCAGACACAATTTCTACATCATTACTAATCCTCAGAAGAGTCATCTGTGGATATTTTTAGTCTCTTCTTCCACCCCTGCAAACTTGAAGTATGCCCACCATCCTACAGCAAGGTGCACCAGAGCTTAACTTGCAGTCAAGTGAACAACTGCCTGCTCTAGAGGGATTTGAACCTGTCTCCTTCCAGCTACATGTAATGATCTCAAGTACTTTTACTGGAAAGGACAGTGAACTACTGGTACCTATCCACAATCTCAGTGCTGCTTGTTCTCTTATAGAGCACTATAAAAGAAGACCTCTTACACGGAAGACTCTTGAGTGATTCAGTTTTTCCTTGTCTAGTGCTTAGTTTTATTTCTCTGAAACTTTGCCAGATCTATCATCTCCTTTTTGATATGGGGAACAGAACTATACTGAGTATTCAAGGTGCAAACTATGGAGTTATATAGTAGCACAACAGGTTCTCCACTTCATTTTGGTTATTTTCATAATGTTTGCAATGTACTTTCCCAACGTTTGATTTGCTGAATTTGCACTTGAAAATATTGTTTATTATTTTCATTGTCCATATAGTGGTTCCTGAAAGATTCAAACCAAAGATACCAAAGATCCAAATGACATTACCACGTTGTGTGTATTGACTCTTTATTATTATCACTTTCCCTCAGATAGGTGGAAAATAATATCTGTACTACTCATGTAGTTTTCTACAGCATAAATATATGAGCCAGTGAAACTTTTTAATGCAAAAAACCTCACAAAAACCATTAGCTTTCTATGGAAAATATTGACTTTCGTGAAAAAATAAGAAAACTTAAAATGGAAAAATTTTGGTTCTCAGCTGAAAATGTTTTGTTTCTGGGGAAGACTGATTTTTTTCCACTGAAAAGTCAACATTCTGTATGACAAGACAAATGTACTTCCCCACCAGTAGTACTATGTATATCTTACATGTATGGATAAAGAGAGAAAAAGGCAAAAAGTTCTAATCATAGAATAATGAGAAATTTAAAGAAGTGATTTCAGAGCTGTTTCCATTTGCACTTTGCTAAGAAGGTGGAGCAGCCTTCATCTCTGCCTCCCTGACCAATTGCTTCTAGGGCCATGTCACCTTTTATGTTGAGCTAGTAAGAGCTAGTGGTGAGCAGGGAATAGTTCCAGGTGGCAAGTAACCATATAGTAACTATATTTCTCCCCTTGGTTATTTTTCAGTCTGATGAATCCCTTGATCAGCCTCACCCTTCATTTTTTTTTTCTTCCAACAATGTGTTTAAACATGCATTTACCTGTAAGCACGTTATGAAGCTCATTAAGATTAAGCAAATGCGTATATATCGGAATTTGGACCATGGCCAATTTTACAAATAACCTTCTTATGTGAAATCCCCCAGGCAAAGAGGAAACTTGTATACAAAGGCCTGTTTTCATTAAGGTTTTGGATTATCCATCTCAAATCTTCATAAAATTAAAGTTGATTGCATATTTTGTAGGCTTAAATATTAATTAAGATATATTTGTTTCTGGAAGGGATCAGATGGCTCTGAAAGTGCTGGGGAAATCTGCAGACAGTAAGTAAAGATGTAGTAAGTGCTTCCACAGTGCAGTTTTAGGTGCCTGTTTATCTCCTTACATTAACTGTTTGCTCTGCCTCTCTCCCCACCATGGTCCATGAGGAGAGATAGAAGCAGCTCACCCAAAGCCTCTGGCAGCACCAGTGTCTCTCTACTGACCACTCAGGGAGCCTAGAAGTCAACCATCACTGTCCCTTCTATTCTCCCTCTTCTCGTCATCTCACCACCCTATTTGCATCACACCCTTCCATCATGAACTGTATTTTGGCATGAAATTCTGCAGAGCTGTTTTCAATGTGCTGTCCAGCGCACCAGTTTCCCCAGCCCTCACTCCAGTTTCAAGAGCTGACTAAAATTCCACCAAGGAGTGGGGAATCCCAAATGGGCTCAGTCAGGGGCAGCAATTATATCCAGAGTACATGGGTGCAACTCCGTCTGTGTGAAATCTGAGGTCTGCTCCCACCAGAGCCAGCTCTGGCACTTAATTACAGTAACACTTCACAGGTTTTTTGAGTAGCTTCCACTCAAAGTGTTACTTCTATCACCATTTACATCACTAATTCATTTTGTTGAGCGCATCTAATTAATCTTTGGGGTAACTGTCATGAAACGCAGAGTTACAGGAAGGTTAAATTACCATCATTTAATGCTCTGATTGGTTTGAATAATAACATATTAATTAAATCTTAAAATCTTCTAAGAAAAAAATGCATAGAAAAAAACTTTGGATTTCTTATGCGCTGACTGTAGACTTTTTCTTTGACATCTGAAAAGTTTACTCTTTTATAAACTTAATTTGAAGAAATTTGCAACGTTATTACTTGCACAAGCTTATTAAAAGTGAAAAGAATATTCCAAAATTATTTAATATGTCTGAGCTTTATATGAACCCCCCCACATTTAATCTGGGGGCTTTTCTCAAGTTGAAATACTCCTTAATCAAATTTTCAGCCTACAAGGCCTCTCATTCAGTAATAACTTTATAATTGAGCACATGCCTAGCTTTAAGTGCACCATATTAACTGTAGCCCTAAAGGGACTATTTGTGAGATTACCATTGAATATTATTTACTTGTATGTTTCTGAGGAGTCATATGTCAGACCAAAGAGCCACAGGCATGGAGCAGGGCTCCACTGTACAGGTGCTGCAGAAATATCAGAATAAAGCTCTGCCTTCTGCTTGAGTCCTTTGATGAACAGCAACCTTGACAATAACTTCCAGCTGGGGCTGGCCAAGGAATGTGAGTTCTGTCTGGTGAAAATATTTGAGGTTTTACATTCTACATTTTTCCATATTAAAAGCAAACCCTCTTTCCAAGGAGTTCATTAAAAGTCTGGAGGCTGTGTTGCTCACTTTTGTTGTAGGAGGTTCTGAATCATGGAGGGCAGACTTCATCTGGGCTTCCCAGATGAATGTTGACTGTCTAATCTGAGATATCTATTGCTTGAGAGTTTATGCTAGACTTTAGGACATCTTTCTGTAAAAAAAATTACTGATATGAATACACTTCATTTTGGAATCAACCAATTCCTTAAAATCCATGTGCAGAACTACTTCAATCCTACAGCTTTGTGTTTTGTGGTATCATTTCTATAAACTTCTCTTCCATTCAGTTAGTTTTAAAGCTGACTAGGAGGCCTTGTTATGATTTAGTAAAAATTATGACTTTTCTACTACAAACAAGCAAGCAAGGACTGACTCTAGTCCTGCTGCTTTTGTGGTGAATTTATTCCTATTTCTGTAATATCCAAAGACCTCAAACAGTTTACTGAAAAAAAATAAAAAAGAAGTGAAATCATCCAGGGTTCTTTCCAGGTTTTCTAGACAGATGGATAGGGGCTGCTGGCCCCTGCATCAGGGAGTGGGTGTAGAAAAAATAGAAAAATGGGGGTTCCTCAGATGTCTGACAGGGAGCTGGATACAAGCCCTCTCGACCTGAAGGGGAGAGCAGGCCAGCTGTTCTGAGCTTCACAAGCTGAGAACTGCTTTGGAAAGTGTTCTGCTCTCTGCAGAGGTTTCCTTGGCTTTCATCTTCAGAGACCTGAGTTAAATTGCAGCTTAGGTCATAAGAAAATGAATGTGGTAGTTTCAAAGTCCCCAGCAGATGTTTGGGAAATCACAGAACCACAACATGGCTAGAGGTTCAAGGTTACAGGGGAGCTTCTAGGGGCAGAGCATGGGAGGGTTAGATTCATACCCATGAAAACTTACTTAAATAATACACTAGAAGCAAAGGATTTTTTAGTGAATTTTCCTTGCAGGAGCAAAACTCTCCCTCTGAGATTCTTTATGGGTGAGGCAATTTTGTCTGCAAGTGGAAACAAACATGTGACTTTTTGGCAAATAACCTCTAAAAGTCAAGCAAAATAAGATACCCTAAATTAGGGTGGGCTGCTTTTTAAAGACTACACTCTGGGATAATTTAATCAAAAGGAGAGTAAGTTTTATTCACTAGCCCTCCGCTGGTCATGCAAAATGGAAGAAAGTAGTTTGTATAAAGCTTATGATCTCTGGAAAGTGAGGTATGAATTTGAGTTTCAGCTTTACTATTTAAAAATGGTCTCTGTCTCAAAAATAATTTCTTTGCACCTGTGGCCATACAGGTAAGGAAGAGATATCAACTTTATGTGTTTGAGTTCATGGTTATAGAATTACGATATACTCACAAATAAACAAAACTATCAGAAAAGCAAATTGCAATGATTCCACTTAACAACTGTAATATCATTGCCACATATTTCACTCTAGATTTTGAGCCTGAATTCCTTCTTATACCAAACCTGGAAACAGAAAAAACCAAAACCAAACAAAAAACCAACCTAAAGCGATGACATATTATGTCTGGTACCTCTAGGAAAACTTTCTTCATTGTCATGTTTTCTTGGATGAGAGT